GGAATAAGAAAAGCGTACCTCTGCTGAATCCCTGTTCAAATTGGCGGCCCATACCCATATATTTACCGAAATCCTGTCACAGTTCGCGATTCGGCAATATTTCAAAAGAGACCATGCTCAAACCCTGTGATCACGCTCCCGCTTGTGTCGTTAAAAGGGAACGAAATGAAGACTTACGGTCTTATTCCAATTCCACATTCAAATCCCGTAGCCCTCTTCCTCCCACGTCCGAAGCCACAACAAATCGACTCCTCCTTCGACTTCGACGACATTCCCCTCTTATAAGTTCGGAAGTTACGACACTTTAATCGGATGCAGTGACGAGAATCGCTGCCTGTGAAGACAACTTTCTTCCTTCCACACAAACAAGTCCTTCCTTTCTCGCTCATTTCTCCCCACACAACCAATTTCCTCTAGTTGTTGCTCTGTCCGACCTAATCCAGGGAGCCGACTGAACTCCTCCATCTCAAACCGTAGCTTTACTGACCCTTCCACTCAACCGGCCGAACTCCACAAGCCCAACCTCTCACCTGTTCGACTAATACTGTCGACTGTCCTAACTGACACCAAGCCGTCACCCTTCCTATTCGCAACCTTCAGGTTCCTCTGGTCGCGAGAGAGAGAGAGAGAGAGAGAGAGAGAGAGAGAGAGAGAGATTATAAATAATAATACTATCTTTAGTAATATTATTATGAATAATAATAGTATTATTACTCATATTATTATAGATATTATTTAATATATATATGGAAAAAGAGAAAAGAAAAATACAAAAAAACAAAAATAAAAAATATAAAAAATGTTCTCAATTTTTGTATCATCCACCCCGCCGGTCGCTAAGGTATAATCTCTTTAAACCCTAAAACTCCGAGATCCCGCTTTCGATGCTTCTAACGCGACAAAACGACCACCTATACACGTTTTTCTCTAGCGTAATGGGAGGAAATTCGTCACGGTGTTCTCAACGAATCGGGTTATCACCTCAAATCTCTTTTTCGGCGTTCATGACGCACCAGAAAACCGCCTATAAAGATATGATCTTCTCTTCTTCAAGTAGAAGGACTTGATATGTAATGAAGATAATGATGTGATATGTCCAAATACATTCATGTGAAATATTAAAGCACAAGCTAGTACATCAAACTTCTGCAAGCAAAGAAGGCTAATACACTATGAGCATAATGATCTGAAGAATATGCAATGAATACTAGGGGTATTCATACAGTCAACAATAGCTTAATTGCAAGCAACTGCTACTATCTTATATAAATAGAAAGATTAAATGTGCAATGAATAATGCTCTCGAAGATAGAATTTAACGTTAATCTACATAGCAGTCATGTGAGAAGACATACTATCGTTTGTGATTAGCAATGATGAATACATTGCAAGAATAAAGGGTCCCCCTGTGAATGCATGTATACATCTGTAGTGTTGTTTACAGGTGACTATAAGAAACTAGTCGTAGCAAAATTCAAATTTCTTATTGGTGGTAGTTGAAGATCTAAGATACACTTAGCAGCATACACATAATAGACAACAAATGATAGATGATGGAAATCAGAACCACCCAGGGGAAGACAAGTATACGAATCCCTTGTAAGCAAAAGATGATTGATCAACAACCAGCTGGGCAATGAATTGCAAATGTCTCCAGGGTTGTGGAAGACCAGTTACATGTACCACATGTTATCCATAAGCGAACACTAGATGATACATCACAAATCAAATGTAAATATCTATGAGATTTTGGGGAAGACCGATTGCACTCTCAGTGTATCAACCACAAGCAAAATTCCAAAGCATAACAACAAGTACAAGCTCCTACGAGTCACTGTAGGAAACTCGTCATACACATAGTATACTATCTACAAACAAATATGGAATAACTACAATAGATTCAAGTGCCCACGGGTTTAAAACAGGAGACTAGATAGTGCACTACAATCCACCTGCAGAAAGAGACAAGTAGTGTACGACAGCCTACCTGTGCAAAGCAGCGAACAATTCAATTCAGAAGCTGCTACGCCACGCCACCGGATCCACAACCTTCATGCAACCGGACTGAAGACGTTTACAAATATTTCAAAGTAACCCCCCCTCCTCGCTCATGCACCATAATTTGTATACATATAGGTACACAAGGGGTAAGTACAATTACAAATACCCACATGGGCCCTAGCGAGCGTGTTATTGGTACACACGTGATGTCTAGGGATGCTACGTGGGTCAACAAATTTAAACCCAATCCTCCTAAGCGACAAAGTTTAATTATAAAATGACCCCGAACACCCGCATGGACCCCGGCGAGCATGTTATGGTTACACACATGACGTCTAGGGATGCTATGCGGGTCAATAAGCGAATTCAAGGTCGAACCCGATCCTTCTATGCGGGTAAGTAGTAGTCTACAGGGTTCGAACCATCAAACAAATATACGATGGTGGTGACCTGTATATTTGTCTTAATACATTCATATTAGGCATTCAAGGCCTATAACAATGAGAATTCACTAACAAAGGCATAAAGCCTATGAAACCCGATCCCCTATCAGCAAGTTGATGTGGTCGATAAAGCTTAATAAATAAAAATGCCTCCAAACACCCCGATGATATCCGTGTTGAATGTAGATCTCAACCGGATGGGTTAATCTCAAATATCTCAAAATGCCATCAAACTCCACAAAATTTAAATATTTTCAAGCGACTTCAAAGTCACCCCAATGATGGCCGTGCTTAATTGAAGTTCTCAACCGGAGGGGTTAATTTTAGGCATTTTTGAATGCCACCCAAATACCCACAAAATCCAAAATCTCAAATTTCAAAAAAATCATCTAAATCCAGATATTTAAAATTGAAATCCATCCGTTCAAATAATTAAAACAAAATCTATCCACCCTCCGCAACAGTTTACCGAGGTGGATAAATTAAAATTTACTTCAGCTCACATAGAGCTATGCTTAGTCGAAAATATCATTATGATCCATTATCAAATAATCTACTGCTAGTAAGGACATGGTACGTGTTCTCTAACCGGCAGTTTGTTGCTAAATGACACCGTAGGATAAACGGTTATGATCCGGGGCCCTCTGAACCGAGTGGTTTTGTCGCCAAATGGTACCACGAAATATGGCCAGAGCTAATACGCTCCTTAGTGGCATCAAATCCTTGAGATATGAATCAATAGGATATGATCGATAAGGCATAAAGCCCTATGTTTGCTAAGATGGATTCAAATTTATCCCCTTAGACAAACATCCAACTCAGGTCTACAAGGTCCCCTTGGACGAACCAACCCATGACTGCTGACAAGGATCCTTCTATCAGGTTGGGTCAACTAGATCCTCTGACTAAGTAGACCAGGGACCACGATGGCCCGGGACGACGGAGCCATGGGATCTTGATCGGATCCATCATCTATCCCTCAACCATCCGCTTTAAGTGCAAGATGGTGAAATTTCTAATTTTAAATACTAAACCCATCCAATTTGAATACCCATGCTGCTACTATATGCCGGATACCCCGTATCTATGGATATGATGTATTCATTGACGACTAGCCTTAATCGAAAGTAAACCAGAACTCAGATCATAAAGTCCTCACAAAATGAGGGCGAAATCTCTAGGTAGTGTCTCATCTACAAACTCATCTGCCTTCCAAAATTTATCCCGAAACTTAAATTCATTAAAACTCCCCCAAAAATAAAAAGCAAACATCGCAGGCGGAAGCCGGGGCCGAATTTTTGGAGCCCACAAAAAAAAATCTATTTTGTGCTTAATTTCACTTGTTTGTTGGCTATTTTTTGATACCAAGGCGTATCAGAATTGAAGAGGCACCTGTAAGAGCATAACAAATCATGAATAAGCAAGCAGATGCATGCAGGAAGAACATCCAGTTCAAAGTTGTGGAGAATGTGTTTTTAAAACTGCGACCTTACAGACAAAGGACAGTGGCCAATAGGAGGAACGAGAAACTTGCCCCGAGATACTTTGGCCCTTACGAGATATTGAAGGTGGAGCAGTGGCTTATCTATTGAGGTTGCCCCGACCACCACCATACATCCAGTGGCCAATAGGAGAAACGAGAAACTTTCCCCGAGAAACTTTGGCCCTTACGAGATATTGAAGGTGGAGCAGTGGCTTATCTATTGAGGTTGCCCCGACCGCCACCATACATCCAATGTTCTATATGTTACAATTGAGGAGAGCTTTGGGGGAGCATGCAGCTAGTTCTGAGTTACCTGCAACACTAACTAAGGAATTAGAGGTGGTGTTGAATCCATTGGAGCTTAAATGAGTACGACAAGGAGAAGGGAGGATCAAGGAAGCGTTGATTAAATGGAAGAGCCTACCTGACTATAACGCTACCTATGAGCCATATGAGAGGGTGAAAAAGAAAATCCCCTCATTTCACCTTGATGACAAGGTGAGTCTTTGAGAGGAGAGTATTGTTAGACCAGTCTAGGTATCGGCTAAACTGGTCCATCCTGGACCAATTCATGTGTATGCCAGGCGAACAAAAGTTCTGCCCAACAAGGGAGCCGAACAGTATGGTGTGGCCATCACAATAATTAATCACTAATTGTGGATGATTTTGGTAGGGAAAATTCAAAATTAAGGGCAATTTAGGGATTAGTTAAATGTGTTTTTTGCTTTAAGTAGTTTTCTTTCCCTAGGGTTTGTTTTATCTTAAATTTGGTCTGAATTTTGAAATCTCTTCTTGTCCTCAGCTTGAGATTGGGAGAACCGGATCTTCCTCTCGAATTGAAGATCCATTGCACCTTGTTTGTTTTCTTGCATCTATAATTAAATTCTAAGTGTCTTCTTGTTATTTCTTTACAAAATTCTCAAAATCGACTTGACGAGGTGCTGAATTTCTAATTTCAGCAGTTTTTTTCATGGTTATTATTATTATTTCCTATCAAAATCACGACAGACCAAGAAGCATGCTTATTTCAAATCATAATTTTGTTGTTCATGATGGATAAGTTACGTATTTACCTAAATCCTTCATCCACTAAGCCTCCATGGCTGCAGGCAGTAAGAACACCAAGAAAAGTGATGTGATTAGGGGCAACTCCACAGCATTTCATATCGCCAAAAAGGGCAAGAGCATCTTTAGCACAACCATACAGTGCATGGCTGGAGATCATTGCAGACCATGACACCACATCATGATTAACCATCTCGTAAAAAGTTTGACTGGCAGCTTCAGTATCACCAGATCTTGCATACATGAAGATTTGTGCATTGCCACAAATGATATATCGGTCAAATCCAGTTTTGGTCACATAATTTTGAATCTGTTCACCTGACTTTGATATAGCCAAGTTTGCACAAGCACTCATAACACTTGATAGAGTGAACTCATCTGGCTTTCTTCCAATTGTCAATAGATCATCAAACAAGCTGAGTGCCCTTTCAAAGTGCTCATTCTGAACATAACCTGAAATCATTGATGTCCAAGTAACAATATCTTGTTTAGGTATAGAATGGAAGCAACTAAGTCCATCTTCAATAGAGCTTGACTTAGAATACAAGTCTATCAGTGCACTTCCTATGAATTCATCAAATTGGAGTTTGCATTTATAAACTTGAGCATGGATTTGCTTCCCAAGCTCAAAGGAATCAGTTAAGTTACAAGCTCTCAACACGCTGGAGAAAGTAAACTTGGATGGCATCATTCCTTTCCTTCGCATCTCAGAGTATAAGGTAAAAGATTCACCTGCAAGCTCATTATGTGATTCCATCTTCAACTGACAAAATCCAGATATCATGGCATTGAATACAACAACATTAGGATCAGCCATTCCCTTAAAGACATTGATTGCTTCCTCCAAGATACCATTCTTAGAATACATGTCAATCATAGAACTTCCCACAAAAACATCATAATCCAATCCAACCTTAATAACAGAGCTATGCACCATTCTACCAAACTGCAGCAACTCAGCTGAGTATGAGCAGCACTTGAGAACGCTTCCAACTGAAAAACAATTGATTTTGCACCCCAACAAATGCATTTGAGCAAAAATCCTTAGAGTTTCAAAGACCAAACCAATTCTAACATGTGCCGAAACCAATGAATTCCATGACACATCATCTAAATGATCTGAATTATCAAAGACACGCCTCACTTCATCAATCCGACCACACTTTGAGTACATGTCCAAAAGTGAATTTGTAAGAAAAGCATGCTTTGTGAACCCACTAACAACAATAAGGCCATGCACCGCCTTCCCAAAACTCAAGTTCCCAGTGCGAGAACAGATGCTTACTGCACCTGCATAAGCGAAGCGGTCTAGCTTGATTTGTGCGTTTCTAGCAACTTTGAACACACGTATGGCTTCATCACTAAAACCTGATTGGAAATATCCAGATACAAGCACATTCCATGACACAATATCTTTGTTGGGAATTACATCAAATAGCTTATGGGCATGGTTCATGTCCCCACACTTGCAGTACAAGTTAAGAAGATTGTTTTGGAGAAAAAGATTTTGCTTGAAATGATTTCGTATCATATGGGCATGAACGGATTTCCCAAGAGGGAGAGAATGAGTATCAGTGGAAGATTGCAGAATATCAGAGTAAGCTAAAGAGTCCATAGATTGGAGTAAGGTGGAAAAGCCCTTACATAGTTTGAAAGATGTGCATTCTAAATAGCCAATCAAGTACTTCTGAGAGCATTGCATTTCTAGATTGGATAAGCCCCTGGAATCTGTCTGTTGTTTGCTTCTTGTTTTGCAATCAACCTAATAGAGATGAGTAGTAATTACTTTGTCTCATTATAAAATGGTCACCAAAAAGTTCTTGCAAACCACAACTAGGAAGAGTGTACTATAGATTTAAGACAAAATACGCAAGCAAAGAATGCCAAAGCTGCAACTAAACTGCGTGAAAAAGAACATTTTTATGTTTGATTCATATAGACATGAATGCGCAACAAGCTTAGTCAACTACTATCTAGATACCTTGTTCTTTATCCTTCTTCGGTCCCTATTAATCAACTTTGCATGCTTAGCCGGCGATGATTAAAGGCTCGACTTTGGCAAAGGCGGAGGCCTCATGGTATGGCGAGTCTGTTCCCACATTCATTCTTTCTAGCTTCCTTTTTTCCCCTTCAAAATGTTATCAACTCGCACAAATTTGATCTTTCATGCTTTTTTTTTTCTCTCCACTCTTCCACATCGATTATTTCTTCAATTATTCAACAATTGTAGCTTAGAAATTTGAGTTCAAATATTTCGTAATGATCAAAATTGAAGAAATATATTAGTCACTTCTTTTTAAGTGCATTCGAAAATTTGCTTGGGACAAATTTAAGTTTACTCTGGACTGTGGATTTTTTTTTTTAATTTGCAACCAAATTTGATTCTAATAACATTCAAATAAGATTCTATCAAAATTTGATCAAATTTGAGATCATATATGATAAAAATTCAATCAGTAATCAAACAATTTTGGAACCATAATTTAATTTTAATCCTTCTAATTAAAAAATAATAATCATGGTTCAAACATGTTTGAATAAATTTCAAATATGACATTATACAAAAAAATTTTAAAGATAATTGAATAGCAAGTTCGAATAATTAATATTTTTCACGCATGTGAAAAAGTAATAAAATATAGCATAATGTAATAGCAGCAGCTATAACACAACAGACAAACACAATTAAGGATAAATTTTAACAAGAATTTTTATATTAAATCAAATTTATTGGAATATTTCATAGTAACATGTTGCATAAACGTAGTAGACAAAAAATTTGATGCAACTAAATATAATAACAACATAAATCCCACTTCCATATCAATATAAAATGCTCAAATTTAATTACGCATAAATCACTATAAAGTGCTCAAATGATCACATCTATATAAATATAAAAATCACAAACCTCATCATATTATTAGAAAATGTATTCTTGATGGGCTTTATGATTGAAGCTATTTTAATCAAGTAATAGCAAGTGTATTTTTCAATTTATAATTATGAATTCAAGGCATCAAACTTTGCATTGATCTTTAGCAGTATATTCAATGAAAGTGTTAGCACATCAATTGAAATACCAGTAATGGTTCTGTATAGGTATAAGAGGAGACATTTGAGTATTTAGATATTGTGTGCTTGTTTTTTATATTAGATACAATGATGTCATTAGCCTCAAATGGTTCAAATTGCCCAACTATTTTCTCCACCACACTAATAGAGCTTGTTGCATCCGGGAATATTCATAGCGATAGAGAAATATAAGTTTAAGATCCTAGCTTTGTACAAAGGTCCAGCTCACAAACATATAAGAGATAGGGGTACTACGTTCATAAGAGACCAAGATTTTTATGTGAAAACCCTTGGAAAGGGGGAAAAACTATGAGTCCTGGCCCAATTTTGAATAAATCCATAAGTATTTGTTGGTTGATTATGAATAATACCCCTCCTCGGAGGAGGGTGCTAGCTCAATGTAGCAAATACATAATGTATATAGCTCGTTACATGATGATTGCTTTTAAAAGAGTATTGACATGTCTGTTTGGTCAATAAGAATATAGTCGGTGGGTGACGTTTGAAGGGACCATAGTCGGCGTGCGACAATCAGAGCAACAATAGTCAGCGCACGATGGTGGTCGGAGTGGACCAGAGTCGATGAGCGACGGTAATAGGAGGGACCATAGTTGGCAGGCGACGGTGGTTGAAGTAACCATAGTCAATAGATGATAATTGTCAGAGGGATTGTAGTCAACGAGCAATGGTGGTAGGAAGGAACGCAGTCGAGCAAACTTGGTCAAAAGGATTGTAGTCAAGCGATGGTAGTTGGAATGACCTTAGTCGAACAACGATGATTGGAAGAACCGTAGTATGCAGGCGAAGGTAGTCAGAAGGACCATAGTCATTAGGAGACAGTCGTCGAAGAAAGGCTCGTCACTAGCTTCCATATGGAGGTTCAATGGTAATTATCGACCAGAGGTTCATCAATGGCGGACTGGTGGCAAAGATTCGTCGGAGAGGTGCCGGGGTGGAGGAGCTCTAGAAGTCTTCAAACTTCAGAGCTCTTCCCTTCTTTCTTTCCCCTCCTCATTCCTTTTATATGAAGAATGGAGATTTATTTATATTTTTTGGAGTGGCATAGTAAATAGGGAGAAGATAAAGGGCATGTTGGGATTGTTTCAATGGACGATCGATATCAACTCCCTTGATTATGGACCGTTTATCAAGTAGGATACCATTTCATCATACAATTAATGATTTTAGAACTCAACGATCTTGGGCTTGTTGGATTTGTCTCATCGAGCCGCTCGATTCAACTATAAGCACTTCACCTTTGGATAACATTTCATCATCCAATTAATGTTTTGAAGCTTCCAAATAGGCTTCATGCCCTCGATTTGGATCCATTTGGGTTTGGATTGGACCAATTTTGGTGTCATTGGGTTTGTCTCTTCGAGATGTTCTATTTAAATATAAGTTTTCTAGATTTGGAGTTCAAGTAGTCTCGAATTTAATTTTGGAAGATTCTGGTTCATTTTTGCATCAAGATTCATACCTGATCAAAATAATCTTTTAATGGCATATTGGTTGCCCCCTATTTTTGGATGTCAAAGCCTGTAGAGTCCAAAAATATGTGTCAAAGTTTTCCAAACTATTTTAATGTAAATTCATAATTTCCAAATAATTATAAGGTGCAGCCACTCCCTAGATGTCAACATGGACCTTCCCTCGGGGCCATGAACTAAGTGAAATACCATTCATTTTAATTTTAGCATGTCTCAAAGTTGGCACATAGATCAAAGAAAAAAATATAGAAAATGTTATTCTAGAATTTTTAAATTGTTCAAAATTGATTGTAGAAGCTCCTTGGCTCCAAAAGGGCCAAAATTTTTCTTGGAAAGCCAAAAAATGATCCTAGGGACCCCAAAAATTGTTTGAATCAGATCTTCCGGACCAAAAAAAAAATATTCATATTCTCCTAAGATATTTTAACTCTTCCATAATCTCTTCTTCTCTCCTTTCACCTATAAAAAACTACTTAGGACAGGGGAAAAGCACAACTCTTCTTCTCTCTTCTTCTCATATTAGAGTCATTATATTATCTTGGATAGGTGGCATCCCCTATCAAGCTTAAGTATCCCTCTTTTTATAGAAGGAGTAGATCTTATATGCTTTTCTCATTCTTTCATGTGCTTCTTCTTACGTTACAGGCATTCTACTACCTTGGATAAGTGGCATCCCCTACCAAGCTCTAAATCCACTCTTTATATAGAAGAAATAGTCCTTGCATTTCTTATCATTCTTTCGTGCACTTCTTCTTACATTAGATGCATTCCACTATCTTGGATAGGCATCATCCCCTATCGAGCTCCATTGCCCCTCTAGTGATAGTAGCACCTAGGAGGAGAACTAGTGACTATCAACAGACAGGAAGAAGTTTGACGATGATTGATGATCAGGAAGAGATCTGGTGATCTTAAATTAATCCTTTGATATAAAGAGTTAGATAATATGCCTATGAAAGCGGTGAGATGATGGAGATAATTTGAGGTTGTGCTTCTAATAGTATCCAAACGAGCGGTCGATGATAGCGGTGGTCAAATTGTATTATATTGAAAGTAGTAGGCATCCATGCTAATGGGGAAGGACAATAAACAACTTGAGGGGATCGAATACTATATCAACCTTAACAATTTAACAGTACACTCATGGTGCAAATTTAGTGGAGGCTTGGTGATCTTTGCCCCAAAAAAATCTCGATGGACATATATTTTTCCACTGTGATTACATTGTACGAGATGATGCTAATTAAAGCAATACATTATTTTTTACTTTTAGATTCTTGTATTAGATGAAGTATACTATATGTTAAAAAAAAAGTATACTATATGTTTGAATTTTTTGTAGAGCTATACTATATGCACATCCAATAATATTATTTATTGATTTGAAATGTTTATATGAGCTCAATGTTTTTTTTTTTCAATTTATTTGAAGTAATGATTGCTTTATTTTTATGTAAGAATACTTCTGATTTGTTAACTTGTCCCCCTAAAAGGAACTAAGTTATTTAAGGATCTTTGAGATATAATTTGATATATTGCCACCCCCCCACCCTCCCAAATTAGATCAACAAGATTAAAAGAATTTATCCCTTTTGGAGCCTTTTACCTTTTGAAGTTCTTAAATAATTAAAAAAATGTATATTTTCTAAGGCATTTAGCCTTTTGAGACTTTGATGTACCTGTGTCTTATGAAGTTTTTATCCTTATAAGTATTTAATGTACCTGTGCCTTTTAAGTCTTTTATCCTTTTGTGATATTTGGTGTATCTTTGCCTTTTGAGTCTTTTAGTCTTCCAAGTTCTTTGAATGAGCGGTGACCTTGTTAACCACTTACTTTCATGGAGTCTTTCTATTAAGGACCTTGTTTACAACTAGCTTTCATTCGAGGTTATCTCATAAGCAGACCTTTCTGGGATTATGAGTGGAGATCTTATTTACCACCTGCTTATGAGGTCTTTCTAATGAGGAACTTTTCACTACTAGCTTCCCTTCGATGCTATCTTATAGACAAGCATTCTTGGGTTATGAGTGGAGATCTTTTCTACCACCTACCCTTATATGGTCATTATAATAAGGACCTTATCCACTACTAGATTTCCTTCGAGGCTAACTTATAGGCAAGCCTTCCTAGGCTATTTGTTAGAGCATTGCTTGATGACTTTAATCTGTATTAAAGAGATTGAGATAAATCCACAAATGATGTTTGACCTATCAGAGGTTATTTTCCAATGCATTATTTGATAGTGTTAACATGTATAGAAGTGGCTAAAAGAATCCATCAAGAATATTTAACCTATTCGAGGTTGTTTGTCAAAGTGTTTCTTGATGAAGTTAACATGTATATACGAGACTGAATAGAACCTCCTACAATCGATTATACTTATATTGGGAGAAGGTGAATGCTACATGTATCCTAAATCAATGAGAAGATTGGTCTGTAATTGGACTGTTATTGACCTTTTGATGTCAAGGTTAAGACATTGTCCAAAGAGTAGAAGTCTAGTTATGAATTGTATAGAGATTGAAATTTATTAGAAACATCTTTGTATTTTCTTGGAGCTTTGTGAAAAATGGTGTCCCAAGATATTTTCTTGGAAGTTGAAAGTACTGGAGGAATATTATTGGCCACTGTTTCCTTTGATATTATAGCCAATATTGCCCCCATTTCAAATTTACTTATTATATTGTAAAGCAACTATGGCTGATAACTTAGT